GTCGCGTTTCGAACGCCGCCCCGTCTGGCCGGGCCTGGCTGCCTGGCCGCCCGCTAACAATAGCCCCACTGAAGCGCTTCGGCTGCGCGCTGCGCCCGGCCCAGCCAGCCACCCCTCGGCCAGCACCGCCAGCACGGCAGCCTCGCCGAAGAAGTGGCACGTTAGGCGTCATTATGGCGACGCGGCCCGGTAACAATGGTGGTCGTCGCAAGTCACGGTGGGCGCCACACTGTCACGGCGGCCGCCACATCAAGGTTAGCCGCACAGAGGGCAATAGGACCGGTGCAGGCGGCCAAAATCCCAGATGCGTTTTTGAGCTCCAGAGTCGCAAAATGGCACTCGAATCGAGCGTGTGACCCCACCAATGGATTCCTCGTTCGGAGAGCAATCCATCGGTGGGGTCACACGTTCGATTCGAGGCCTGTTTACCGACTCTGGAGCTCAAAACGCGTCTAGCTCGGCCCACTGGTCCACTGTGAGTCGTCCCGGTGACGACGCTTTGACAGTGTCAGTAACGGCGGTCGTCACGGTGGCCGTCGACGCCCCTCCCGATATCGGCCCACCGCCCTGGCCTCGGCCTGGCCCGGCGCGCGCCGCGGCGACCGCGGAAGGGAACAGGGAATGCCCCCGGCAAGTGGCGCCAGTGGGCCAGCGCGCCAGTGGGCGATCCACCTGGCGTGCCTGGAGGGCGCCGCGCCGAGCAGGGGAAGGCCCACGGCGGGCTGCCTCCGCACAGTGTGCCCGCGCTCCGTCTCCCTCGCACTCACGGGCTGTTCCGTCGCGGTGCGAGAGAGACGGCGCCGGTTGGGAATGCTGCAGGAAACAAAGGCGCCAGGCCCGTCTGTCTCAAAGAGCGAGCCATACCGGCGTGAGGGCGAGGCAGGCCAAAGGCAGGCCCCGGGCCCACCCTCCGGCCCGCGCTGCCCCGCAAAGCTGGCGGCAGACCGTTTTGCAAAACTAATGAAGCCAAGTTAATTCGGATTGCCAGTAAGCCGGCCGGGCGAGGCGAAGGGAGGCGAAGCGAGGCGAAGGGGGCATTCCAAACTCGGGCATCGCAGTGCAGTGCCGGTTCCACCACCAATGGCGGAGCGGACAGCCCTTCCGGACAGCCAAACTCGCTCGAGGATCCTTTTCCCCCCGCGTTTATTCGCGGGCGGTTTGAGGCAAGTGTAGTCATCTGGCGAGGGAAGCTGTGGACAGAGCCCACCACACTCACCCACACACCCATGCGTTCACACACACACACACTCGCGCGCATTCATAACGGCAAACACGCGCGCACAGATTCTCCCTTTGGTCAGCGAGGCAACGGGTCTGTGAAATCGCGAGACCACTGAACGGCAGAGCGAGAAGAGAGAGAGAGAGAGAGAGAGAGAGAGAGAGAGAGAGAGAGAGAGAGAGAGAGAGAGAGAGAGAGAGAAGAGAGAGAAAGAGAGATGTGAGCTTTCATTAAACAATAAAGCGACGGCATGCAAAAATGGCCCCGCTAATGTCTCTCGCGGCTTTTGGACCGCGCTCATCGACCGTGAGAGTGATTCTGAAGAGTGGTTATTTCGTCGCGCCGTCTCCCTCGCACTCGCGGGCACCGCGAGAGAGAGAGAGAGAGAGAGAGAGAGAGAGAGAGAGAGAGAGAGAGAGAGAGAGAGAGGGAACAGCCCGCTTGACGTCAAACGCGGCGCGGATTGCACTATGGCGCGGCGGGGCGGAAAAATGGCGGGTATGCCCGCCGCCTCCTCGCCGGCCTCTCTAAAAATAACTTGATTAGAAACGTCGGGCCGACGCGCTGCGCTGCTCCGCCTGTCAGCTGTCGAACGAGTAGTTAGTTTGGTTGTGATTCGGGCGGGCGGGCCGGCGGGTGGCACCGAGGCGGGGGGCCGCGCGGAGCCGCGCCGAGCCAGTGGGGGCGGCTGAGGAGGTGGCGCGATTGACAAGTTAATTACAAACCCCAATCCGGGCCGATTGGCTGAGCTGCGCGCTGCGCGCTGCTCCCCACCCTCTCCTCTCACGAGATCGAGGTATCGAGGTCAGTTCGAATCCATCAAGACGAGCTGGAGGCTCCAGGATTACGCCGGCGATACCAGTGTACTGGTCTTCGGCGTCGTGAACGCGAGGACGGCGTCGAGGACGGCGTCGAGGACAGTGACGTGGACGCGGGGCGCTGTGTCCATCCCAGGGTCAGCGAACCAACGCCCGCGGGTTTACCCAGAACCACGGTTTACGCGCGGTTCTGGGAAGGTTCTGGAAGGTGACCTACAGAACGGGACTCCGCACTGTGCGCGGTTTATACAGTCCGCGAGCCAAACGGCCGCCCCGCTGCTATTCACAGCCGCTCTGTCTCCCTCGCACTCACGGCGCGGCCCGCGGCCGTGCGAGAGAGACAGTGTGCCGGTTTGTCTTTGTGTTAGAGCCGTAAAGGCCTCCGCATCCCGGGAAAAGAATAGACCGACCCTGGCAGGCCCGACTGGCCCGACTGGGCCGACTGGGCGGCCGGTAAGGTGGTTTGGGCTTCGAAATGAGTTTTCTCCGCACACCGCAAGAAAGTTAAACGAGACTTACAGCTTCTAACGCATTAAATTTGGGTCAATTATTTTCAGTAAAGCATTTTTAATAATGGCAGGACAAATGATGCCACCTCGAAGTGTGTAACTCAATCTCCGTCGTCTCAGCTTTTATCATGTGTAACAGTACACCTTGCAAAAAGCACGCGCTCTCTCTCTCTCTCTCTCTCTCTCACGCACACACCTCAACACAAACAGACGTACAAACGTATTTTCCCGTGTGCGAGTGAAAGTTGTGTAAGGATCCCGCACGACTACACTACATAACCACCTCTCTCTCGTCGCCCTAGACGAGACCCCACCCACCCCCATCCACCGTAACACCGTGCTTGCAGCGGACCCCCCCCCCCCCTCTTGAAGGGCTGGAGAGCGAAAACACTCACACACAGACATAGTTACATACAAACACACACAGACACACACAGGTGAGAGGCGCTAAGGGGTGGTTCGTAAATGTCACTTGACTCAGATGTTTGTAAACGCGCGTGCTGACACGTCCGCGTCTTATGCGCGCCGCCCCACTGCAAGCACTGCGAGGGCGGGGCGGGGCGGGGCGGGGCAATCTTGCGAGGAAAGAAGAAAGGCCTGGGGGACGGTTTAATGCCAACCCCTCTCTCTCAAACACACACACACACACACACACACACACACACACACACACACACACACACACACGACTTCCACGTACGCGCTCCCCCCCCCTCCCCCCGGCATGTTTCCACCGCGCACCGAGAGGGCACCACCGTCGTGGACAGGGCCTGTCGTCCGCGGAGCGCACGGTGTCCACGTCGTCAGTGATAGCGGCGACCTCGCACGCCAGCGGGCCCCCAGTCCTCTCTCTCTCCGTCTCTCTCGCACTGTGGCGCGTCGCGTGGGAGCGAGAGAGACAGAGAGAGACAGGGAGCGGCAGGCTAATGGTGTAAGTGCGCGTGCCATAAATCGTCACCACGTCGGTAATGGGTACGGCCATCGACGCTAGGCCCGGCGTTTCCGGGCTGCAGACCGAGGCCGCCCCGCCCCGCCCCACCCGCCCCGCCCCGCCCGCCCCTGCTGGAACAAAGCAAGTGCGCCGCGCCAGCTCAGCACGGCTCAGCGCCTGCGAGTGTAGGCAACCGACGCTCTGGAGTGCATTCGTGTTCGGCGGGCCTGCCCACCCCGCAGGCGTCCTCACCCCCGCACTCTGCGCCGCCCTCGCGAGCCTGTCTGTCTGTCTGTCTGCCTGTCTGTCTGTCGGCCTGCCTGTCCGTCAGCCCCGGATCAGCCCAAAGACCACCAAAGACGCCGGTACAACCCGCAAACGCAAACACAGCCCGAACGGCGGCGCGGCCGAGGTGCGAGCGAGCGAGACACATAGTAGTAGGTAGTGGTTGGCGTGAAGCCGCAACACATATACAAACAGCGCGCCCACAATGTGAAGGGAAGACCTCGCGGTCCAGTGATGTGAGGGAAAGCGAGGGGGGAAGGGGCGGGGGGGGAAGCATCGGGCCCTGGCGGCCTCGCGAGAAACCGCCACTATGGGCTGGCCGTCGTAGAGTCCCAACGCAGGATGCGCCAAGCGTCTCTATTTATTGATATTCGGATTGGGATTGGGACGGCACAGGCGCCCCGAGAGGGCGATGACGGTACCGGAGGGAGGTGGCACAGACGCGGCCAAGAGAGAGAGAGAGAGAGAGAGAGAGAGACGCGGTCTCGTTCGGCGCGTTCGGGCTATGAGGTTTCGCTTTCGCTCCTTGGCAGCATCCTTCTGCTGTCTGCCGCCTCTGCCGAGTCGGGGGCAATTTCGCCGCCGTCTGGCCTGGCCGTGCGGCCTGGCTCACCGTTTACAGCGTGGCGGCGGGCCTTCGGCTTCTTCGGCTGGGGCGCGGGGCGCGAGCGAGGCGCTCTGCGAGGGGCCCCAGCCGTCGATGGATTGGCGAGGAGCACGAAGTGTGTCTCTCTCGCACGCCGGCGGCACGTGCCGAGAGTGCGAGAGAGACAGAGCTAGGTGGAACTGCGGCGGCGTGTTTTGGCTGGCGCCTCCCCCTCCCCCTCCTCCCCTCTACTACTCTAGTCTGTTTCCTGATCACTCTCCGCCGAGGACTGGCGCGGCGGGCAGGTCTGCCTGCATGGCCTGCCTGCATGGCCTGCATGCGGGAAGCGGAACGACACCGTAAACCCTCCGCCTTTATTGGCTCCTTTCGCGGGAAAAATATTTTTCATGAAAACGTGTAAAAGTGAATGCGTGCGATGGGGAATTTTTGCGAAAATAAGGACTTTGCCGCCGCAACGGGGTGGGAGGCCACCGTGGCGGGTGAGCAGGTGCCGAGGCCTAACAAGCCACCCGACTCAATCCGTCCGGTGCGCTATCTCTCGCAATGGCGCGTCCCGTTCGGGCGCGAAGAGGATGAAGCGACTCTCTTCGGGATCGCTGCGTGGAGGACGCGGAGTACGCCAGCTACGCACCTGTTGAGGCGACGACCCCGACGACGACGGCGACAGCTCGTAGTTCAGGGTCACCTGCAAAGACACACCGAGGTTAGAGAGTCACACATGACATGCAACGGCTTCCTCTCGTCGCTCTGTCTCTCTCGCACGTGAGGGTGAGAGAGAGAGAGAGAGAGAGAGAGAGAGAGAGAGAGAGAGCTGCGAGTAATCCAGGCGTTGGTTCATTGGACAACGTGGGGGTAGAATGAGAGCAAGGTCTGCGCTTTCCAAGTTATGGACGACCGTTATACAGGCGACGCTATGAGGTCGCGACCCCGCGGCCGAAGCGTGGGGCTTGGGGGCGGGTCACCTTGCCAGTGTATCGTCAAGGGAGCGCGGAAGGGTGGCAAGGTCGCAGCGACGACCGAGTCGGGGACAATGATCCGAACACCAAGGGCAGCCTCCATGCCTAATTCACCACCAATCAAGGGCTTAACACCTGGCGAGCCACAACAACGCTCTCTCTCTCTCTCTCTCTCTCTCTCTCTCTCTCTCCCTCCCATTTTTCATCATGCTCGTCGCCATAAATTGTCCAGCAGCGAAAGTAATTAAGCGGTACACACAAGGGAAGAAAAACTGTTGTGAATAAAGTATGGGCGGCGCGAATGGCACTCGTGCGAGACAAGCGCGAGGCGAGGGGCGAGAGACGAGCGGCGAGTGTCGATGAGGTGTCGAGAGAGAGAGAGAGAGAAAGAGAGAGAGAGAGAGAGAGAGAGAGAGAGAGAGGCGTGTGTCGTGGCCGGAATACGACGTGCAAATGGCTGAAAACAGTGTAAACTGAGCGGGGCTGTCACTGGCGATGCCGCCCCATGGCCGCGCCTTGGCCGCGCCACGGTTTACTTTCGCTCTACAAATGTTTCTCGGCATTAACCAAATAATGAGGCGTCGCCAAAGCCCCGTCGTGTCCCTACAAAGTGGGGCTGGCGCCGCACCAGCGTGGGGGAGGGGGGGGGGACACAGGAGGGTGCGCTGAAGAAAAAGGAAAGAAAATACTCAAAATCAATTCCGTGACTGCCAAAATTTGGTAAAATGTCATCTTTGAAACTAATAATTAAATTTGTTTTTTGTTTTTGCGGTGACTCTGGGCAGGCTAGCATGAAGAACGGCACGCGAAACGAGAAAATTATGGGGGGGGCGTAAATCTACGCGCCACTCGGAAACAATACCCGCGGAGGGCTTGCAGCGCGCTGCGAAGGGCATCCCGTCTCTCTCGCACTCACGGAGCGTGCCGTGGTCAGGGATGCGAGAGAGACAGATAGCGTCACGCAAAAACAAAATTCGCAGAGCGGTGACACAACCCTTACAAAGATAATAGGCCTGTCGCGTTTTTGACGAGCCGAGCACCTGAGCGTCATTGCGACAGGCGGAAGAGAGGGGGGGGGGACGCGCGTGCCGCACTGGCAGAAGGACTGCCAACCCCTGGAAGTTTCTATTAGGGAGAAGGACAGCGAAGAGTCATGGCTTTGGCCGGCTTTTGCACCCTCCACAATGTCTCAAACGGTGAATATTTTTAAATATTTGTGGGTGAGAGTGCCGTGAAAACAGGGTCAGGTGGGCGGTGCGGCCGGCGGGTGAAAAGTTTACTCGGCAGCGAGGTCGATAGGCAATCACGCGAGCCGAAAAGGAGGCGCGGGACAAGACGCCGGCGGTGCGCGGCGGGGCGGGGCGGGGCGGCCTGCGTATTAGCCTACGGGAATCACCGTTCGGGACGCCACCCCCTTTCCCCTTCGCAATGGCAGGCATGTGTAGCATACACAACAGTGTAGGGCAAACTATCGGCCCCAGTTGCTTTACTACCTCACGGGCCTCACGGACGGCCCCGAGGCCACGCTTACTGAGCCCTGGATCCGGCCCCCGAGGGACTTCCCTAATTTTACCGCCCGCCCTGCATACGCGTGGCCACGCTCCCGATAAAATCGGGAAGAAAAAAAGCAAAGAAAAACGTTTGGACCAGCGGGAGTCGAACCCGGGACCTCCGACGTGGGTGTCCACCTCCCAGCCCATTCGGCCACGCCAAGTCAAGGGTCCGCGGGTCAGCGCGCGCGGCGGCCGCCCCTTGTTGTGGGCCGACGAGTAGTCACTGGGGAGGGGCGGTGGGGGCACCGACACATCATTAAAATTCATTGCACATATTTCGTTGGGGGGAGTAATTTCGGCGTGCGGCGTGATGGAGGGGGAGGGGGGGGGGAGTAGTTACGTCGTAACTAGCGCCGGCCTTTCGGAACAACCGACCGGGGGTTGCGGTCGGACTCATTACATCCAGTTTCCGAAGCAAGATCCGGCAGTCCGGCATAAGGCCGCGTCGCCGGCGGCGTCGTTTTTGACCGCTCCTGGCCGAGCCGCCTAGCCTAGCGCCCTGCCACCCTCGCCGGGCAAATAGACGCATAGCAGTGTAGCGGCCGTAGCGGCGTGGCACGCATTGTTGATTTCCCTCGCCGCTTCAGATCACGCCTCAAGAGTTGTTGGTCAGGGGTCCAGCAGGCCGCCCCAACCCCAAGGCAGGCCGGGCAGCCACGCGCCAGGGTGCATTTCGTTTCGGCGATTGAATCAGTGTCGTCGCGTTGGCCATGCTGGACCCAATTAGAGACTCGCAAGTAGCTTGTCTCGCTCTGTCTCTCTCGCACTCACGGGGCGCTCTGCGGCGGAGCGAGAGAGACTCACAGCGAGGCCGGTGTGGCCGCGGACGCGTCCGGGCTCGGGGTGTAAACTCCAGCAGTTAGCAGTGGCGGCGCCTTCCCTCACAGACTGCTGCCTGCACCTGCACTGTCAGCAGGCCACTCATCGCTCTGTCTCTCTCGCACCCTTCCGGGACGCCCCGTGAGTGCGAGGGAGACGGAGTCGAGGGCACTGCGAAGCAGTGCTCGTGCACTGGGAATCGCGGCACACACGGGCCGCTTTCCACCGGCAGAGTACGGTCTCGAAGGCCACCGGGCGGGGCCGGGGCAGTGGCAGCCGAAATTCCTGTGATGAATTGATTATAACTGGATTGGGCTGGACGCCGGCCGGTATGCGCGCGGAGCGTTGGCGGAGCGCGGAGCGGTGCGTACGTGTCGGACGGGGAGGCCACTGGACTGGCGGGCTTCAAGCTGCCGGACAGGCAGACAGGCAGGCAGAACCAGCGGCCGTGGACAAGGGGTGAGTGCGGGTCTCGCTGCTCAGTTTGTCACCCGTTTCCAGGACGGTTCAGAATGTTCGGGGCTCTCGGTCCTGGAAACGAGTTTCGGCGGGCCCAAGACGCCGACGTAAGACCAGTTCGCACCTGGTAGCTTGCACACTGAACTACATAGTACCGCTGGGCAATGATGCCCCTTTCCCCGCAGTGCGTTTCAGGGAAAAAAAATCGGCGGCAAAAAGTGGCAATACAAAAGTCTCAAGGAGACCCGCCGATCAGCTTCGGTTTTCTTATGGGAACCGGGCCTTAATCCAAAGCTCCCCCCGCGCAATTCGACAGATTAGTGGGTTCGTATTGGGCTGGCCCCCCCGAAGTGCGCGCGGTTTCTGGGTACCCGTGAGAGTCCAGATTCAGAGGCCTTACCTCAGAGGGGGCACATTGGGTATTTGAACCCGCGACCCGAGTGCCGAGTCTAGTCAAATCCTCTACCCTGACCGCTCAGCCCCCGAACCAGCTTGTCGGCGGCGATGTCGCCCAAATCCTCTTGAGCTGCCGTTCGAGAAATCTGGCCCCCAAAAAAGGGTACCTTTTTGCGGTCTCGAACCCGGGACCTGCCGCTTCCCACATCATGCTCTTTAAACCCCTGAGCCACCGGGACGCCATGGCACCCGGCCCGCCTGCCCGGTACTCAATCTTCTCTGGAAAACCTCCCAAAGCAATTGGTCGCCGAAAAAATTGTGTATACTACCGGTCCCGAACCCGGGACCTGCCACTTCCCGCAACATGCTCTTAACCACTGAGCCACCGGGACGCCATGGCTCCCGGTTTGCCTGCGCTGGTACCCAATCTTCTCTGAATATACCTCACCAAGCTATTGGTCGGCGAAAAAATTGTACGTATTACCGGTCCCGAACCCGGGACCTGCCGCTTCCCAACACATGCTCTAAACCACTGAGCTACCGGAGGACCATGGGGCCCGCACTGCCAGCGCTGGTACTCAATCCTCTCCGGATAGACGTCAAGAAGTCGGTTGCCGTTGGCGAAAAATTTGTTCATGGTACTAGTCTCGACCGCAACACACAACACGCGACGCTCACCTGCAAGGCAAACGAAAAAAAACAAAAAACAACAAAAACAAGAAAACATGAATGGCACTATCTCCAGACGGTCGTGTGATGTATGCGGCCGCCATTACACTGTCTAATTCCACATGCGAAAAGTGGAGTCGGACGGGCCGTCCAGGCGGCAGGGCTCGGCCCACTAGGCGCAACTACTAGGCCTCGGTCTCGGTGGACGTGTGCAGATTAGCCCAGAGTTATGGCAGGTCGCCGCGGGGAGCGGGAGCAGCGCCCAGCAGCGCCTAGCAGCTCCTCCGCGGCTACAAATCCACTTTATTTATCACTTCCCCTGTATTATTTCAGGTGTAACACCCCTGGATCGCGTTTTGTTGTACGGCCCCTACATGCCGTTTGAGCGAACGGAGTGGCGGCACACTGTGGGTAAAGGTGAAAAGGGGGGAGGGGCAGGGTGGCCTTGCGCACAAGGGAGTCCGATGGTGTCGCAAGAGGTAAGTACAGTATGTGAGATCGCGCGTGTGTGATAATAATGCTGTTAGAGCTGTGTGAGTGGTGTGTGTGAGGTAGTGTTGAAGAGGGTTAACAACTTGTTAAAAATAAACCCCAGCTTTGTTCATTAGAACGCCCACAGCGACCTTCTTTATAGTTTTTTTCCGTCGGCCCGCTTGCGTTGCAATTACCAATCCATCACGAATCTAACTCTCTCGTGTCGCCTACTAATTGCATTATTACTAAAACGCTGCGGTGAAAGCAGTAAAAACGCAAACTAACTTTTTGGGGGGTCTTTCGTTGAAAAAGTAAATGAGACAGGTGTCGGCGTGCTTGGAGGACGGGCAGCAATACCG